CAGCCGCGCGACACGGGCCGCCTGCGCCTTGCGTGCCAGCCGCGCCAGCCGCGCCGCCGAAGGCGCTCCATCGGCACCCTCCTCACCGCCCTCCTCGCCCTCCTCGCCTACGTCCTCGTCGGCGTCGAGCGCGAGCTTCCTGTCCTCCGCGGCTGCCACGGCGGACCCTGGCGTCGCCATCGCGCACCTCTGGGTGTGGCAAGGTCGTGTCCACGTACTCCTGTTGGCGTCGCCAGCAGCGCAGGGAGGTGGGGGGGGGGTAAGGCCGGGTACCCTTGGTGATGTGTGCGCGGCTCTCCGACTCGACTCGACGCGCGCGTCGCGGGCATCTGACGCGGCGGGCGGCGTTGCGGGCGGCAGCGATCGCGGCTCGACGGTGGAGGTGGGAGGGGGTGGTGGTGAGTGAGTGAGTATTCACAGATAGGGTGATAAGAATTTTACAACAAAACTCCCTCGCACGACACTGGGCACGGGACTGGCGCGCACTGGCACTAACACAGGTACACCACGGGAGCCGCCTAAGCGACTCCTGCGAGGGTGGCGAGGCACTTAGCTCCGTGCACCCGCCCACCCCCGCCACAGGCAAGCTCATTCACGACCTGCTCTGCGATGGCCGTGTGAAGAACGACTGAGATGCGCTGCTTCTGCAGCCCCAGCCAGCTCTTGGTGATAAGAAAACAAGAACCCCGCATACGACGACAGTGAGGGTGTGAGAGACAGACCCAGGGAAGGTCTTTCACTACCTTACAGCCCCTGCCCGAGCTCAGGCTCGACAGAGGTGGGGCCCGGGGGAGGAGGGGGGCTCAAACCTTCAAGGAGATGCAACTTGGATTCATTCACACTGACCATCTCTCATCTCCAATCTCCAATCTTCTACTTGGCCACTGTCGCCGCTGGCAGCAATTATCTACGACCTCCATTTTCAATCTTCGATCTCAATTCTGGGGCGGATGGCTGGGCGCTAGGATCTACAATCTGCATTCTCCATCTCCTATCTCCCACATTTTGGCCCGTGTTGCTGCTCAGCGATCTGCAATCCACAATCTCAATCTTGGAGCACTTGGAGTGCAGTTATCAACCTCACATCCAGGGCCGGGGAGCTAAGAAGCGCACCCAGCGAGCCGGATGATCGGTGTCGGGTTACGGGCTAGAGAGCCCTAGCCCCGGGGGTGCGCGTTCGCAGGGCCATAACACGGGTCTCCGAGGGTTGGCCCCGCGTACCGGGTTTCCCCTTAACTGCAGGACGCCCCCTGCCCCCCTCTACTCGGAGCTAAAGATCAATCTTCGTTTAGTTCCATTTCACAGTGGCACACAGCTTGACCATTTGTACATGTCGGTGCCTC